AAAAAAAAAAAAAAGAAAATTAGCCCCAAGTTCACCAAAACCGTCACATCAACAGCTGGTCTCCTACCAAACATGAGACACAAGTACTGTTTGATTGGACCCAGGTTAATAAAAACTTTATTTATTTTGGAATCTCAATGATCTAGATCTCTTTAAAACCATTAATTCGTTTCTCTAGTTACTAGAAAGGGCAGAAACATTGGTTAAAATCTTATCTGTCACTTAGCAGCTGGTTAAAACCTTGTCTAGGCCAGTAATCCTAGTACTTTGGGAAGCCGAGGAAGGCAGATTGCCTGAGCTCAGGAGTTTGAGACCAGCCTGAGCAACACGGTGAAACCCGGTCTCTGCTAAAACACAAACAATTAGCCGGGTGTGGCAGCATGCGCCTATAGTCCCAGCTACTTGGGAGGGTGAGGCAGGAGAATTGCTTGAACCCGGGAGGTAGAGGTTGCAGTGAGCTGAGATCGCACCACTGCACTCCAGCCTGGGCAACACAGCGAGACTCCATCTCCAAAAAAAAAAAAATAAAGAAAGAAAACCTTGTCTATCACTTAGCAATGATATTCCTATCACTTTAGGAATGTCATTTAATCTTATAACCTAAGTTTTCTTATATTCAAAATGGCAATAATAATAATAAAACTCTGTAAAGCCGTAAGTATTAGTGATGGCAGCAGCAGCCAGTCTGAAGCAGGGCAGGCGTGGCCAGGGATACGCGCTCTGTGGAACCAAGGGAAGCTGGGAGCAGGCAGGAGCCCTTCCCGGTTCTGAGTTGGCGGGGCGGGAGCCCAGTGCTCCTAGGCATAGCTGCAGCCTCCCAGCCACTGCTGTGGACCTGGGCATCCCTGTGCTCTCAGGGGCCCCAGAAGCCCCTCTTCCCCACAGGCTTATAAGTGCTTGATTCCGCTTCCTGGCCTCTCCCTGCTCCCTGTGCCCGCTCTGATTCTGGAGCAAAATTGACGCTGAGCCTGGGCGCTGTCCCAACCCGGCCAGGTGAGTGCCGCTCAGGATGGCGCTGACACACCAGCCCCCTCCCACCTCAGCCCCCTCTAGACTTTGGGAGCCACTCTGGACTAATCCTTTTGACTACGAGGATGGGAGGGAGGCCGAGGAGGAGCTGAGGACGGCTGGCTGCAGGCCTGCAGGCACCCCTCAGCACAAACAGCCAGGGCGCCTTGGACGACATGACTGACAGCAGAAGGCAGACAGGCTGATAGGTAGAAAGGGTCGGGTCCCTGGTGATGCCCCACTTTCAAGCCAAGACCAGCCCAAAACCTTGGGGACCTGGCTGTCAGTTCCGGGCGAAGCCTGTGGGCCAGAGTGAGAACTGATGGTGCTTTTTCTGGCCCGCCCATGGCTGCCCATGGACCAATCAGCATGCACTTCCTCCCTTCTGAGCCCATGAAAACCTCAGACCCAACCAGATTCACACAGACACTGGGACTACCAGCTGCAGAAAGGAGCTACCCATTTCAGGTCTCCTGAGAGCTGTTCTGCCACTCAATGAAGCTCCTCTCTGCCTTGCTCACCCTCCAGTTGCTCACGCTCCGCGTACCTCATTCTTCCTGGATGCAGGACAATAACTCAGGACCCATCGAATGGCGGTACTAAAAGCTGTAAGACAAACCGGGGCTGAAACATGTCCCCGTGCTGACTACATTGCAGGCACAAGAAGGAGAGAAGAACTGTGGCCCTTCAAGAAGTCAAGATCTAGGGGCTCCCCAAGCCAAGGCTGTAAACACCCTCTTTGGGGCTCTGCGGTTCCCAGCATCTCCATGCTTCCAGATGCCACCATGTTCCCCTTGTCCAGACGCGGGTGCCCTCAGTGAAAGCCTCATTCAGTACAGCTGGTCCAGCCCCAGTCTTGCATGGAGCCACCCACCCCCAGACCCTGCACTTGCTCACCTACACACCCCTTGCCACTCTGCACCTGGCTTGCCCCTGGTAGGTATGGGATCTGAGCTGGTAGAATGAGCTGAGTGCAGCCTACCAGGCCAAGTGGGTGGAATAAGCCCAGTGGGCACAAGCAATACTCAGACAGAAGGCGCCGCTAGCCACAGAAGTTTCTGTCTTGGTGAAGCGACACCCCAAGGATCCCGTGACGTTAGGGGTAATGTTTATAAAATACCTAGCAAGGGCTCAATAAATGGCTTATTATTACCATAAATGTCTACAGGGCTAAACGAAACATTACAAACCTTCGGGAGAGAGCGTACTGTCTTAACACACTGCACTGCTCCAGGCCCGTCTGCCTGATGCTCTGCCCGCTCCAGGGCCCCCACCAGAAAGTCTCTCGCTATCCTATACTATCTGCACCTGCCTCTACTTATTTTGGTTCACCCTGAATTCCAGTCAATTATTTCTTGTTTACTTCCCGCTTTGTCCTCTTCTCTCATCTCAATACAGCATCTTACAGATAATCTTCATGAAATGGGAATCCAGTAAACATGGCTAGCATCAGCAAAATCCCCACTGGATTATCTACATGGCAGGGAACAATGGCGGGTGAGGACCCACAAGTGAGGGGAAGGAAGCTGCAAGGGTGGGTTGGAGTCAGACCTCCATAAGCCTCAGGACATGGACTGCACCTGGAGGGATGACATCCACCAAAAGCTTATGCAACAGTGTCCCAACTGGATGTGGGTCCAGAATGACTAACTCTGGCCATCAAGAGGAATGCCCAAGGAAGGGACATGGGACAGGCTATTTTCACAGCTCACACAAAAGATAATGCACATGAGCATGGAAAGAGGAGCAGTGGAGATGAAGGAGCGGAGCTGACAATTTAGGGAGTGCTGTTAGAACTAGTAACTTCACAGAAGCAAGGAGGAGGTGCGAGGAAAAGCAGCCTGGTGTGTTAATTTGAGATTTTCTCTTTTTTAAGCAGAAGAATACAAACACAACTCATTTTGGACATGTGGCTGAGGTTGAAGTATTTTCAGAATACTCAGGGAAAGACGTTTAGGATGTAGGTGGTGAGATACCCCAGCCACTCGGGTTGATTTAGGAAACAAGATGTTGTAGGAATGGACGAGATGACCTAAGAGAGGGTGCTGCTGAATAAAAATATAACATGAGCCACAAATATAAGCCACACACGCGGTTTTAACTTTCCTAGCAGTGACCAGGCATGGAGGCTAACATCTTTAATCCAAGTATTTTGGGAGGCCACGGAGGCAGGATCCCTTGAGCTCTGAGTTTGAGGCTACAGTGAGCTATGATGGCCACTGTACTCCAGACTAGGTGACACAGTAAGACCCTGTCTGAAAAATAATAAGAACAATAAAATTTTCTAGCAGCCGCATTAAAAACATAAAAAGAGGCCGGGCGCGGTGGCTCAAGCCTGTAATCCCAGCACTTTGGGAGGCCGAGACGGGCGGATCACAAGGTCAGGAG